AATAGGTTAAGTAACAATTGTAATTACGAAGCTATAAGATGCTTATTTTAACATACTAAGTAGGTTAGGTAAGGTCGGTGTTTTCTATGAAGCTTTTCAAAGAAACTATTATGTTTAGTATGTCACCTATGCACGCAACTAATAAGTCAATATTGACTTATTAAATTTGCGAGAACGGGTTGGTCCTTGACGTGTATTACTAAAGCCTTTACCCCTCCTACAATTCTGAAAAGCCTCTTCCTTGAGCACTTTTCTTCGCGCTCCCACTCTATTTCCATCTTCACCGATGGGTCTAAGTCTGCAGACGGTGTGGGCTACTCTGTTTTTCCTGACCCTACTTATTTGTGTCGCCTCCCTTCGGAGGCTAGCGTCTTTACAGCAGAACTTTATGCTATTCTCTATGTTCTTCGTCTCTTGCTTTCTCATTCTCATTCCTTTGTAGTTGTAGTTGACTCTCGTAGTGCCCTCATGGCTCTAGGGTCCTTTAATCCTGTCCATCCGGTGGTCATCGAGATTCAACATTGGCTCTTTCTTATTTCTAGTAAATTTAAATCAGTAGTGTTTTGCTGGGTTCCCAGCCATATTGGTGTTTCAATGAGCGTGCGGATGCTGCCGCCAAGGAAGCTGTCCGCTCTTGTCCCATCTCTCGTAAAGGTATTCCGTATTCAGACTTACCCGGTTATCCATTCCTCCGTCCTTACCCGTTTGCAGGCTTCTTGGTTGTCTGTTACTGCTAACAAACTACGTACTCTTAAATAATGTTTCCTCGTGGCAGTCCTCCTTCCACCGTAACTGGCGGTGGGAAACTGCTTTGGCGCGGCTGCGGGTTGGTCATACTCGCTTAACCCAGGGTCACTTAATGGAGCACCGCCCTGCTCCTTATTGTCCCTCTTACAGTTGTGCATATGCTAGTCAAATGTCCTGACTTCCAGGACGAGCGTCTATCTTGCTTTCCAACCGTCCCTCGTGGTCACTTATCCCTCGATAGAATTCTAGGTGAATCGGATACTTCCGATATCGTTCGCCTTATGCGTTTTTGTTCTCGTATTGGCATTCTTGGTGATATTTAGCGCCCTCTGATTATTTCGCACTTTGATGGTGCTACATAGGGAAGACGAGTGCAGAAATCTAAAGGACGAGACTCAAGGACAGATTTACGAAGAAGGAAAGATTGGGGAAGATGAAGACCAGAGCTAACAGAAGAAAAGTGGGAACCCAGTTCAGAAGCGACCTGCAACGGGTCCGCCACAAGAGTATCATGGAGGTGAAGGACCGGTGAAACATCGGGAACGAACTTGCCCGCTATCTTGCGGATACGCTTCCAGATCTGTGGCAGAGGAGTTTTGGACGTAATTGTAGAGACATAAGATGCCCAATATTCACGCTTAGCCGTACAGATGGCCCTACGGGCCACTGCACTCGCTTTCCGAAAGAAAAGAAAAGAATCGGCCGTCTGCCGACGGCGGTGCTTCTTCCAGGCTGCAAGCTTACAGCGGACAGCCCGAGCACAGTCCGCATTCCACCAAGGAACGCACTTCCGTGGACCCCGAGAGGAAGAGCGAGGAATAGAGCTGAGGGCAGCGTCTAAGACTGTTATGAAAAAGGAGGAGAGCACGAGGGAGAGGCAGAAGGGAGAGGTCAGAGAGCAGCACTGAGGGTAAAGAGGTTCCAGTCCGCCTTAGCAAACTGCCACCTAGGGAAAGAGAGGGAAGGGCGAAAAGAGAAAAGGGAAACAAGGATGGGGAAATAGTCACTGCCATGGAGGTCATCAAGAACCTGCCACGTGAAATCTAAGTAAAGAGAAGAAGAGCAGAGAGAAAGATCAAGACAGGAAAGGGTGCGAGTCCGAGAGCCCAAATGATTGGGCTCACCAGAATTCAGGAGAGAGGATAAACGGCTCAAGATGGCAACCTCGGGTATTCGTCAGAACATCACCCCAAAGAGAATGACAATTGAAATCACCCAGCAGGAGCACAGGCTCCGGCAAGGTGTCCAGGTGGTGTTTCAAATCAGGAAGAGAAAACGTGACACTCGGGGGGGGATATAAATGGAACAAACTGTGTACCATTTCCCCACAAAGACACGAGCAGCAGAACAATGGAGAGGCGAAGGAAAAAGTAAGGGGACAAAGGGAACATCAGCGCGAATAAAGAGAACAGAAGAATAAGGAGCCCCAGCAACGGCTGGGGGAGAGAAAGGAATAGCCACGAAAACGACCAGGACGAGCACCAAGCATCGGCTCCTGGAGACACACAAAGGGGCGAAAACCGCGAAATCAGAAGTTGGAGTTCGAGGAAATTGGCGTAATAACCTCGAACGTTCCATTGAAGAATAGACATCGACGAGAAGAGAAAGGACAACAACAGAGAACAAGGAAGAAACAAAGGCGAAAGAGCAACACAGCACGTTAAAGAATATCAGGGTCAGGATCAGGGGTCAGCAAAGTCAGGGTTAGGGGGCATGGATAAACCGAGCAAAGATGGAGGGAAGGAAGCGGGAGAACAGACCAGAGGTGGGCGGGCGGGGTCCGGAGGAGGAAGAGGAGACAACGGAGCAGCAGCAGTCAAGGACAGCAGCAGGAAGAGGGGAAGTAGAAAGAGGGGAGCGCACCTCAGCAAGAGCAGCAACCGAAAGGGAAGCAGGGGCCAAAGAAACCTCCATAGCAGGAACAGGGGGCGCAAGCACAGAAATGGGAAGGGAAGGAGCAACAGAGCCAAAAGTAGGGGCCGAGAAAGAAAGCAAAGCCTTCTTACCCGCCGGGGAGGAGGAAGGAGAGGAGCCAGGCTTACGCTTCTGACTGAAAGAGACCTGTGTCCCAGCAACTATGTACCGGGCAACGGATTCCAGTGTCTCAACAGGAGAAGCTGAACGAGAGCACACACGATGGCCGTTAGGAGAGCGATGGACATTCGCCTGCACCGACAGGGAGAGCCAATAGATGGAGGAAGAGGATGGGAAGGAGGATCGGAGGGAGACTAGGAAGAAGATACAGGAGACACGACAGACCGGGTAGAAAGAAGGGGAACCCCAGACAGAGGACCAGGAGGGGGACCCTTCGGGACAGAACGCAAAGGAACAGAGGAGGGGGCAGTGGGCGTATCAGGGTCCAAGGCCCGGAAACGGTTGAGTCTGAGGAAGGTGGGAAGGACGAGGAGAGGAAGAGCACAACACGCGGGCATAAGACGTTAGCATAAGGCGGGAGCCGGCGAACCTGGCGCCCCGCCTCGGGAAAGGATAAACGCTCCCGGTGCTTCAAGTTGAGGACGGCTGCCTCAAGCTTGTAATGGATACAGGCACGGGAGAAGGTAGGATGGGCCTCACCGCAGTTGAGGCAGCGAGCTTGGGGAGAAGTGCACTCCAACTTAGAGTGACCTTCACCCCCACACAAAGGACAGAGACACAGTCCCAGAGCATCGGAGGGCACCATGCCCAAACCTCCAGCACTTGTTACAAAGTCGAGGAGAAGGAATATACTCCTGGACAGAGCACCTGGCACCAGCAAGAATGACAGAGGAAGGAAGGGTCCTACCATCAAAGGTGATCTTCACAACTCTAAGGGGTTGACGGCGACGACCACGAGGGGGACGAGTAAACGAGTCTACCTGGAGGACAGAACGGCCTTGGGCATCAAGGATATGCCGAATGTCATCGTGGCAGTCCTGCAGATTCCGAACACCGGTTGCAACATGGGGCGGGAGGAGAATAGTGCCAACACTGGTATTCAACCGAGCGTTCTTTGAGACCCGAACAGGGATCTCGCCAAGGTAGGATAAGGCAGCCAAGCGGGAAGCTGCATCCTGAGAAGGAGCAGCAACGACACGTGTACCGAGACGAGTGGGGTTGAAGGTAACGGACGCATCCACGGAATCAACAAGATGCCGATGGAGGGAGAAATAGTCAGGCGGCGCAGAATCAAGAGGGAGGAGATCAAAGTATTTGGCCCATGAAGCGGGACCAAACAAGGCCTGATACGCGGCAGTACGGGAAGGAATCGAGCGAGTGCGGCCGGGGCGCGAACGTCGTTGAGAACCCCCAGAGAGAGAGAGTGGTTAAAAGCCGCAGTAGTCACAACGAGAGACTTAGCCGCACCAGGGGACGAAGTGGTCACCACTGGGGGCTGGAGGCTCGACCCAACCACAGAGGAGGGAGGGGAGCTGGGGGAAGAAGTCAGGACGGTCAAAGGAGCAGCAAGGTCGGGGCCCAACGCAGCGGGAGCTACAAAGCCTGGTCTTCCAATTCAGGCCGACTCGGGGGCTTGGTCGCCCACCCCACGAGCCTGAGAGGGTACAACGGAAACATTTATCGACAGATGAGAAAAACTCATCCACGAATGTGCCCCCACACCCACCATGGAGCCACAATTAGAGGCAGGACACCCAACAGGAAGCTATCGCCGATCATGCCGGGGCCCCCCCCCCAGGGGTGTGTCGCGAGTATACGCCCCACAAACGCCACCTTAAGAACCGTCAGTTCGTCGAGATCGGGTTCAGCGACGAAAGGGGGATTGACAATAAAAGGTTCCCCTCGCTCGAGACGCCGGGTACAACAGTTCTACGGGTGCAAGAGTATGCCTCCTCAAGCACCCGGGCGTCAAAATAGAAGTCCAAAGAAAGATCCAAAACAAGCAAAAGGTCGGCAGGAAACGACAAGCAGATAGGAGAAGAGGGGGGGGGGAGAAAAACGAAACAGAAGGAAAAGGTGCTCAGCACAATTGGAGAGGACGGCAGCAGGAGCACAAGGCTAGAAAAGGACAGAGGACTGTCCCAAGGAGCATCACACTCCGGCAGCCGCCCACCAAGCCCCCCCTCACGGCATCAACGAGCTGAGCGGGGAGGGGGGGGGGGTCACCACCAGCGTAGCTCTCATCCTGTAACTACACTTAGGTAATTACACTTAGGTAATTACCAAGCCACCAACGGGCCGGACAGGGAGGGGGGATGCAATAATCAAAACTTTATTTACATTATATATATTACAGCAAACTTTAAATATAAAAATATTTATTAGAAGTTGAAGAAAATTTTAATAAACCGATTTTTCATATTAACCTAAATTTTTTTTATAAAATTTAAATCTGTTCTAGTAGTAGGCCTACACTAGAACAAAATTTAATTTTGCATTTATTTATTTATTTATATATACAAAAGTTCCTACATTCTTGTACTACATTGGTATATAGTTTACAATAATCTTAAATCCTACGTAATTGGTTCAGGAAGGTTCTTATCGGTTTTCACTAAAATTTAAAAAGTTTCAATTTTTCAACTTTGAGAACATAATTTGTGAAAGTACATCTATGCCAAAGGGCGCAGGCATATATTCCTCTAGGTTGTGTTTACCAATGGTGGTCCACATGCTTGTCGGCCGCGGCCGCGGCGTGGGAGTGAATAACGGTTCCGCATGTAAAACTTCAGAACTGGTGAGCGTGCTTATATTATCTTCTGTTGACCATGCTGTTGCTGGTGCTGCTGCTACCCAATCTGGCTGTGGCACGGTGCTCCCAGTCGCACCCTCCATGCCCCAAGTCTCACCCGCCGTGCTCCCAGTCTCAACCGCCGTGCTCCCAGTCGCACCCTCCATGCCCCAAGTCTCACCCGCCGTGCTCCCAGTCTCAACCGCCGTGCTGCCAGTTTCAACCGCCGTGCTCCCAGTCGCACCCTCCATGCCCCAAGTCTCAACCTCCATGCCCCAAGGCTCAACCTCCATGCCCCAAGGCTCAACATCCATGCCCCAAGGCTCAACATCCATGCCCCAAGGCACAGCATCCATGAACAAAGTCTCACCCGCCGTGCTCCCAGTCTCACCCGCCGTGCTCCAAGTCTCACCCGCCGTGCCCCAAGTCTCACCCGCCGTGCTCCAAGTCTCACCCGCCGTGCCCCAAGTCTCACCCGCCGTGCTCCCAATCTCACCCGCCGTGCCCCCAGTCTCACCCTCCTTGCTCCCAGTCACAGTCTCACTCTCTGTGCTCCAAGTCACGCCCTCCGTACCTACAATCTCACCCTCCGTGTTCCCAGTCTCACCCTCCTTGCTCCCAGTCACAGTCTCACTCTCTGTGCTCCAAGTCACGCCCTCCGTACCTACAATCTCACCCTCCGTACCTACAATCTCACCCTCCGTACCTACAATCTCACCCTCCGTACCTACAATCTCACCCTCCGTACCTACAATCTCACCCTCCGTACCTACAATCTCACCCTCCGTACCTACAATCTCACCCTCCGTACCTACAATCTCACCCTCCGTACCTACAATCTCACCCTCCGTACCTACAATCTCACCCTCCGTACCTACAATCTCACCCTCCGTACCTACAATCTCACCCTCCGTACCTACAATCTCACCCTCCGTACCTACAATCTCACCCTCCGTACCTACAATCTCACCCTCCGTACCTACAATCTCACCCTCCGTACCTACAATCTCACCCTCCGTACCTACAATCTCACCCTCCGTACCTACAATCTCACCCTCCGTACCTACAATCTCACCCTCCGTACCTACAATCTCACCCTCCGTACCTACAATCTCACCCTCCGTACCTACAATCTCACCCTCCGTGCTCCCAGTCACAACCTCCGTGCTCCCAGTCACAACCTCCGTGCTCCCAGTCACAACCTCCGTGCTCCCAGTCACAATCTCCGTGCTCCCAGTCACACCCTCGATGCCCCCAGTCACACCCGCCGTGCTCCCAGTCACAACATCTACCATTGATGCAGCTCCCTTTTTCTCATAATTACCGGCCTCTGTTTCCACGGTTGTGGCGGTGGTGGAGCCATCCCTTGTGCCGTTAACCTTTACTTCTGTTCCTCGAGTGGTTCTTCTCATGCTAGTTTCAGTGGACCGATATATTTCTTTAGTTACATTAGTTCCCTCTGTTTTAGTCCCATTAGCTGTCCCAATTGTGCCGAATACTTCGGTTCTCTCATCCTTCAGAATACCGGGCGATGACGAAGGCGTCACGCTTGTGACCTCTTTCTGTGTTGAACGTGTCGAAGTTTTACTCTTGGTCTTCTTGCCAGTCGTAGAGGGAGGGGGTGAAGTGGTGACTTTGGGTACCCGCTGAACAGCTCTCCCAGATGCCCATCTGAGGAGCGCCACGCTCTGCTGCGTCTCCACCGAGCCGACGACGGACTGCATCACCTGTGAGGAGTGAACACTTCCACAGTTCCTGTTCAATATTAAAACAATAGGGGCCTTAAATCTAGCACATTTGTGATTCTAATCTAATAGATTATATAAAGTAAAAAGCAAAACTGACAACTCTGCAACAAAACTAAACAGACAAAGTTTGCAAGCTTCCATTTTAATATTATACACGCATTAGCCATTAAGCAATCCTATATAAATATATAATCTGACTAAAAAATTATGCGTCATGTCATTAGCAGAGGTCACTAACATATATCCAAGCTTTCCAGCTAAAAAAAAAAACAACGAAAATTATAAGGTTAAAACTTTGATCAGAGCATTTGCCGTTATTAAAATAAGTAATTATCGAAAGAAGGCACCAAACCGGGAAGACTATGTAACACCATCAAATGTGCAGGATAATCAGAGGGCGCTAAATATCACTATGGATGCCAATACGAGAACTAAAGCGCACAAGGGGGAACTTCAAAGGTATCTTACTCACCAAGGATGCTATCGAGGTACAAGTGACCACGAGGTACGGGCGGGTAGCAAGGCACACTAACGTCCTGGAAGGCTAAGACATTCAACAAGGATATGCACGACAGTAAGAGGGACAATGCGGTTTGGACAATAAGGACCAAGGCAGCGGTCCATTAAGTGCCCACGAGTTAAACGCTCATGTCCAATGCGTAACCTCACCAGAGCCGTTTCCCGCCGACGGTTATGGTGGTTAAAAGAAGGCCATGGCGACACTTCCCTTAAGAGCACGCAGCTTGTTACCAGTAACAGAAGACCAACGACCCTGCCAACGGGCAAGGACTGAGGAATGAATAACTGGGTAGAAGTCTGAATAAGGAACACCTTTATGCGAGACGAGACAAGTGCGGACAGCTTTCTTAGCGGCAGCGTCCGCACGCTCATTTAATAAACCAATATGCCTGGGAACCCTGCAAAAATACCAATGTCTTAAATCAGCTGGAGATAGACTGCGAATGTTTAATTTCGACTACCACAAGATGGACAGAATTAAAAAAAAACTAAGAGTCGTGAGGGCACTGCGACAGTCTACTATAACAAGAGGAAGATTGACAACGAGAAAGCAGTTGAAGAGCATGCAAGATAAAGTCCTGCCGTGAAGATGCTAGTCTTGAGGCAGACGACACACAGGCGTGGTTAGGAATAACAACGGTAGCAGAAACCGTCTGCAGACTTGGACCCATCTGTGAAGACTGAAATGGAGCGGGAGTGTGAAGTGTTCAAGGAAAAGGCGTTTTAGAAGTGTAGGAGGGGTAAAAGCTTTAAGTCACGTGGGTCAGAGTTTTACAAAACTTGGAGAATCCTCCATGGGGAAAGAACGGAACGACACGAGAAATACTGCAAGAAAGAATCTTGTAAGCGAGACAACCGTACAGAAAGAGGGAGGTGGTGAAGGGGAACCACAGGTACGCTAATGTCGTACTTTGACAAAGGTCAAAGTACGACATTAGCGTGTTTTGTTTTATTTTATTTTTTTTTTTAAGGACCATACAAGGCAGCGATCACGGCTGTCCTGGAGAGATATGACCCCAGTGTCGACATACAAGCTTAGAGTAGGAGTCGAACGAAAAGTACCAAAACCGAGGCGTAACCCAGTATGGTGAAGAGCCTCAAGACATCGTAGAGTAGGAGACGCAGGCGAGTATGCAGGGCAACTGTAATCGAGTTTAGACAGTACGAGAGAGGAATATAAAGAGGAGACTGTGCCTATCCGCGCCCCAAGAAGTATGGGACAAGACCTTTAGTTAGTTAAAAGCCTTAGAGTATTCAACTCTGAAGCAAGATATACGGGACGATCAAGATAAAACGAGTGTCAAAGATTAACCCCAAATGCTTAGCAGAATCTTTGTACACAAGGGGGATGACCATAAAGCAACAGAGGGGCGAAGAACGACCTACTTCCAAGTCATAGCACAAGTTTTAGTTTGAGAGAACTTTAAGCTATGATTGGTGGCCCAAGACGACACGGCATCAATCTCAAGTTGAAGCCGCCGTTGAAGGAAAACAGTCATCACCTCGACAGCAAAGGGTAAGATTACTGTAAAGGGGTAAGAGTTGGGACAGAATATGGTATCTTAAGGTGGTGTCTTTTGCCTTTTCCAGGTCAAAGTACAGCAACAACGGAGGTCTTCATAGCAAAAGCAGTACGAATATAGACCTCCAAGTTTACCAAGACATCAGTCGTGTTGCAGCATTTGCGAAAGTCAAATTGAGAAGGGGAGAGGTGGCGATAGTGTTCCAAGAACCACATCAGACGGACATTGACCATACGTTCAAAGAGTTTGCAAACAACTCAATGGCAATGGGGCAGAAGTCCTTTGGGGATGTTCCTAGAGACCCTGGTTTCCGAATAGGAACAACCGTCCTGAGCCAGGCCTCAAGGATTGACAACGGCTCCCACATACGTTATACACATACAGTAAATACTGAAACGCGCATGGAGATGATGGAGCATCTCTATGAATGTCATCTGAGCCCGCTGCCGTAGAACCGGAAGCCAGAGACGAGTGCGAAAACCTAAGGGATAAGATTCAAGAACGGGTTTACGAATAAGAAAAGATTGAGGAAAATGAGAACCGGAGCTAACAGTCGAAAAGTGGGAACCCAGTTCGATTGCGACCGAGACTGGATCCACCACAATAGAACCACGAATGTAAAGGACTGGAGAAACATCTGGAACAAGCTTACCCACTATCTTGCGAATTTTCTTCCAGATCTGGGGCAGAGGAGTATCGGTCGTAATGGCGGAGACGAGATTTCCAACTTTCATGTTTAGCTGTACGGATGGTCCTATGGGCCACCGCACTCCTTCCAAAACAATAAAAGAATCGGCCGTCTGTCTGCGTCGGTGTTTCTTCCATACTGCATGCTCACAGCAGACAGACCGAGCAGTCTACAGTCCGCCAGGCAACGCACTTCCGCGTGCTCCGGGAGGTAGAGCGAGGAATAGAGTGAAGGGCAGTCTAATACGGTGTCAGGAAAAAGGATGGGGGGGGGGGGCCACGAGAGAGAGGCAGAGCGGAGAGGTCAGAGTAGCATGGAGGTGAATAGATTCCAGTCAGCCTTGGGGAAACTGCTACCTAGGGAAGGAGGTGAGTGAAAGGAGAAAGGTGACCAGGATGGAAAATGGTTACTTATGAAAGTAATCAAGAACCCACCATGTGAAATCTAAAAGAGAAGATGAACAGTGATCAAGAAGAGGGCACGAGTGTGGGAGACAACACGAGTAGGTTCACCAGAAGTCAGAAGAGAAAAGAGGACAAATGGTTCGGGAAGGCGACCACGGGTGTTTGTCAGTGGATATGCCGACAATTAAAAATCACCCAACAGGACCACAGACTCTGGTAAGGAATCCAACAGGTGTTTAAGATTATCAAGAGAAAATGGGACATTAAGAGAGATAAATGAAACAAACAGTACAAGGAAGATATAAAGGCAAAGAACACTAATACCAAGGAAGATCAGGGTCTGTGAAATCGGGGCATAGGGAAATCTAGCAAGGACGAAGGAGTCAGGGAAGCGGGAGGATGGACCAGAGGCGGGCTGACAGAACCCAGATTGGGAGAAAACATTGGAGAGGGGCAGTGAAGAGAATTAAGGGACGGGGGGGGGGGGCGCCAAACACATCAAGGGTAGCAAATGAAAGTGAATCGAGGACCAAGGGAACCTCCATAGCTGCGACAGGGGACTACCACCGAAATGTGAGGGGACGCAGAGATAGAGTCGGAAGGTGAGGAAGAGGAAGGAGAGGAGCCAGGCTTACGTTTCTGACTTAAGGAGATAGTGTTACCAGCAAGAACGTACTGGGCGACAGCCTCCGAAGTCTCAACAGAATGAGAACGATCAACATTAAGAGTGCTGGGAGGAGGTTGGACAACAGCCTTGACAGATAGGCAGGAAGGGAGGGAAGCCAAATGACGCAGGGGATGGGCAATAAGAAGGATGAGGGGGAGGGAGAAGGGAAAGGGCACAGGAGACTGGGAAGGAAACACTAGACAGAGAACCAGGAGGAAGACCCTCTGGTTCAGAATGTGAAGGAGCAGGTGAGGTGTTAGTGGGGGTGTCCGGGTCCAAGGCCTGGTTACGGGACTGAGAAAGAGGAAAATGACAAGTGGAACGCAACACACGAGCGCAAGACTTTACAGCAAAAGAGGGGAGACTGCGTACTTTGTGTCTCGCCTCTGGAAAAGACAAACTATCGCGGTGTTTCAAATTGAGGATGGCTTCTTCAAATTTGTAGTGCACACATGTGAGGGAGAAGGCAAGATGGGCGTCACCATAATTGATGCAGTGAACTTGGGAAGAAGAGCACCGTTTTAGAGTGATGCGAGTCTCCACACAAGGAGCATAGACTCGCACCGTACTTGTGCATTTGAGGGCACCATGCCCAAATTTCCAGCACCTATTGCAGAGGCGAGGAGAGGAAAATGTACTCCTGAACAGAGAATCTGGCACCAGCAAGAATTATGGAAAACAGAAGGGACCTATCAAAAATAATTTTCACGACTCAGAGGCTGGCTGACGTTCACTCGACAAGAGGGTCGAGTGAACGTATCAACCTGAAGGATAAATGGCCTTGAGCTTCAAGCACATTTTTAATATCCTCGTGGCAGTCTTTCGGTTCTCTAACCAGTCGCAACATAGTGAGGGAGAACTGTCAATGCTGGCATTTAACCGGGCATTTTAATGAGATCCTAAATGGGGTCTCCTCAATGCAGAGCAACGAGGCCAAGCAGGCAGCTGCTTCCTGAGAAAGGGCTGTGGAGGGAGAAATCATCAGGACATGTTGAATCAACATGATTTAGATCAAAATGTTTAGACCATGTAACAGGATCAAACAAAGCTTGAAAGAAGAACTGGAAGGACTCGTTGGGGTGCGGAGGGAACGGCACCGAGCACCCCCAGTAAGAGGGGGTGGGGGTAAAAAAGACAGTTGTCAATGAGAGAAGGAGCCACACCAGATGATGAGGTAGCCATCACTGGGGGCTAGGGGCTCAAGCCCGCCACACATTTGGGAGGGGAGCAGAGAGGGGTGGTCAGGAGGGTCAAAGAAGCAGTTTGGTCTGGGCCCAATGTAGCAGGGGATACAAAGCCCGGCCTTCCATTACAGCCCAACTCCTGTGCCTGGTCACCCACCCCATGAGACTGAGAAGTTAGGTCAGTCATCAGCTTATGAACAAAAAAATTCATCAACGAATAAACCCTCATACTCACCATGACACCACTATTAGGGGATAGGACACCCGGCAAGATATTATCAGCCAATATTATCAAGAACCTAAAAAAAAAAAACACTACCACCACCATCATCATAGGAATTTAGGAGAATTCTTGATCACGTACAGTAATTCATAATATAGATGCATCAGCGTCTCCAAGCAACCCGTTCTCGCAAATTTAATAAGTCAATATTGACTTGTTAGTTGCGTGCATAGGTGACACTTAACATAATAGTTTCCCTTGAAAAGCTTCATAGAAAACACCGACCTTACCTAACCTACTTAGTATGTGAAGATAAGCATCTTATTGCTTCGTAATTACAATTATTACCTAACCTATACCTATAATAGGTTAAGTAACAATTGTAATTACGAAGCTATAAGATGCTTATTTTAACATACTAAGTAGGTTAGGCAAGGTCGGTGTTTTCTATGAAGCTTTTCAAGGGAAACTATTATGTTTAGTATGTCACCTATGCACGCAACTAATAAGTCAATATTGACTTATTAAATTTGCGAGAACGGGTTGCTCCAAGCAATGGGTTTGAATAACAACCCAAGTATCAAGTAAAAGATTTAACCGGAAAATATGGACAAGGAAAACGGGCCAAGAACCCACTGGCTGTCAGCAAAATTCAAATAGAATCTAGTACAGGCAGGAGTTAGGAGTGATTCCACTTAAAGTTTCTCGCAGATTTAAAAAAAAAAAACTTACACATTTCCTAATATGAAAATCTTTACCTTATCAAGCTGTGCCAAGTGGTCCTTGACGAGGGTGGCCGCCTTGACGCTGACCATCACTATCTTGGCCAGGGTTCCATCCAGGAGGTCAGCGTGGAGGTCCACCCGGTAGCAGCTGCATATCGCCGTGACCAGAACCCCAGCTAAGGAAGCCATGTTATCCTCCACACCAGACGCCCACGCAATATCTTCGGTCAAACTCAACTGAGGGATATTCTCTGGCACCGTGCAAGAGGAATCTTGCCACATCTCTTGCAAAATATAATTCGCAATTAAAGTAACGGAATGACCTTTCAATTTGTTTGAAAGATTTATGTGCAAAGGATCATAATTATCTCTCTCGGTTATTTTATTATCCGTCATCTTTAATTTTTTGTGCCAATTTCCTTCCTTGCTGACAATGAGAGGCGCCGCCTCGCCACTGCTGTCTGCTCCATCTGGTACATGCAAAGATGGCAATGGCGCTTTCTCATGTGCCATATTTACTAAATCTTTTATAATTTTTAATTTCTCTATATTAATATTCATCATCTGTACAATCATTGCCCGAGTTTCTGGCGTCGGGGAAGAGGGATTTGGCGCGTTTAGCACTAGTGGTGCAATGTTGACGGGCATCTTTGTTGATAGTTCATCTTCCCGAACAAATTTATCAGTTTTAACAGTATCTGAATTCTTGAGATACTGTTCAAAGTCGCCAACGGTGAAGTAAGCACTATCTTCCAGATCTTCAGTAGGTTTATGTCTCGTCATCTCCAGATTATAGGGGTCAGACTCGTGGGTTGTATAATCAGTAGCCACAGTGTGTGGGGTGGTCACCGGGTCACCAGCAGGCTCATCATCACGGGTAACGCCGCCCGCCAAACCATTCGTTGCTACGCTTGACGTTACCAGTTTATTTCCATGCGTGTTGGGCGATGGTTCGCCGAGCGAGGGAGACGACCTAAACAATTGGTTTATCCAAGAACTTATATCCGAGATCTGAAACAGTGAGGGCAGATCTTCCCAAGATTGTCCTTCGGTAATAATAGTTGTGGCAGCGTCGTCGTCTTCCTGTGTTACAGTCTCTAATTCAGACTTTGGGTCTTTACCAGACACACGACACTGACACCCACTTGGTACCAAGGCCTTCACCAGTCTCAGTACACTGGAATTTAACGGGTCTTCGGCATACAGATCTTGCATTTTCATTTTCTAGAAATAAAAACTTTTAGTTAACACAACAAATAACTAAAATAGATTTGTAGTTTCAAGTTCAGTCTGACTTGTAAAGCATCACTATGCATGTACATCAATACAATACGGGAGGAGGGGGGGGGGTTACATTCTAGGTATATAAATGTATACCGGTACTTTATAAATTTAAGTCTGGATAAAAAAAATCACTTTAAATATTCCATTATTATTCACACGTATCAATGGCGCATCCGTTTTTTTTATTATCTATGGTTGTAGGCCAGACGCTCGGGGCTGGCCTCCAGCAACCTCCCACATTAAGCATGTTGGGTATTGGTGTCACAGGCCAGTCGGGTTCGGCTCTGTTTCGACTTAAAATATTGACATCTAAAAACACCCCCCCCCCTCCCCCTCCTTTACCCGATTTTAAGCGACATTCGTTTTGTTAACACATTTATTTAGCAGCGAGTTTCTACATATTTTGAAGGGGAAGGGGGGGGGGGGAGGGAATGAGGAGGTCGGGAAGGAGACTGAGCGAGGGAGAGGCTTTGAGAGACCGGGTTACCCCTCCAATACTCCTATAAACCAGCATGTAACATTATACCTACATCTGAAGCTCTATGCTAGAACTGCTAATAATCCGGGTCTTGCAAAATTATATAAAACAATTTTCAGGCGAAAACCTGTCTGAAACTACTGATGTTATCCTAACCGAGCCCACGTTAATATTTAGAATAGGCTAAATATTTTACACAATCACACTATTGACAAGTGTCAAGATTAAGACACTTGTACAGTATGGAAATGTGATCGTTTTTCTAAATAGTTTAAAAAGACTAGTGCACATTTGAAATCATTGATCAAAAAGGCCTCGCCTGAATGTTATCACTTTCTCTAACTTTAGTTAAGTGTTGTATCGCCATTATGTGTTGTCCCCGTTGTAAATTTGGTATGAATTTTAAGGAGTCAGAATTATCAAGGCCGTGAAGGTCACCAAAATATTTATATTCACGGAGAAACCAACTCTCCACTTTTACCAATATAAAATTTTGTGCTGGCAGCTAAACGTGACTTTACCTGGAAGCATTCTACTGTCTCCGAGCGAGGGCCAGGGAGGGAGCAGGTGTGCTGTGTACAAAAACCCGCCAAGACAGGTTGCATATACCCATGTATGTCTTGCACCACTGTGAAGTTCTCTCCTGCAACGGTGTTATCACGTTACTGCAATGGAACTAAATTATCAAGGCAATAACATTGAAACCAGAGAAATAAAGGCAAACCCATTGATTAAGACATGGGACAAGCATCATTATCTTTATAGGAATAAGTAAAGCAAGACCAATTATATCTATCTAAATAAGAACCTTACCTGGCCTCATTCTCAGCTTAACCTGTCAAGGCTAAAACAAGACTGTAGGTAATTAAATGTGTAATGGAACAGTTTCATATGGAAGACTATACATAGGAAAGGTTCAGGTTAGGTCTATGCAGTCTGAAAAATCTAGTCGAATAGTCAGAAGATTCTAAAGAGCAGGTATATATATGCATTATAGAGTTTACGTTAGAGATGATACAGATGGATATGATAGAGCTGCAGAAAGACTAAGGTGCAAAGGCAATCCGTCCCAAGTCTATCTTCATTCAATCCAGCAGTCGACCCCACAGACGCATTCAAAATATGAATTCTCACAAATATATTTATATATATTAGCATGCTGTGCATATTTAGGTCTAGGGAGACCCGTGTCTCCACACAACAGTCACATTGACACACCACACTTGTGCACCTGAAGGGGTCATGGCCAAATCTCCAGCACCTATTGCAGAGCCTAGGAGATGGAATATTCTACTGAACAGAACATCTGACACCAACAAGAATGATGGAAGATGGAAGAGACCTATCTAAAGTGACCGTCACAACGCGAAGAGGCTGACGACGACCACCACCACCGCGAGGAGGTCGAGTGAACGTATTAATCTGGAGGATAGAATGACCTTGGGCCTCAAGGATTTAGCTAATGTCCTCGTGGCAGTCTTTCAGTTCTCCATCACCTGTCACAACATTGTGCGGGAGAACTGTGCCAATGCTGGCATTTAACCGAGCATTTTTAGAGATCCAAACAGGGGTCTCCCCAATGGAGGACAACAAGGGTAAGTAGGCAGCCGCTTCCTAAGAAGGGGCGGCAACAGGGGTACCAGTGCGGGTGGGGTTAAAAGTGACCGTTTCCACGGAATCAACGAGGTGTTTATGGAGAAATAAATAACCAGGACTAGGAGGAGCCAACATAACCGAGATCAAAATAATTAGTCCACGTGGCAGGACCAAACCAAACAAGGAATGTAGTAGAATGGAGAAGGAATCGTGCGAGTGCCGAGGCGACAACGCCGAGCACCCCCCCTACCCCAGTAAGAGGGGGTAAAGGACGCAGTTCAAGCACGTTTGAGAAAATACACCTTAAAAGGGATAGATACATCTGGTGATGAGGCGGTCACCACTGGGGGCTTGGGGATCAACCCTGCCACAGAGGTGGGAGGGGAGCAGCGAGTCTGAAGCACAGGGCTCAAAGTAGCAGGGGCTAGAGCCCAACCTTCCAGGACTGACTTTGGGGCCTGGTCGCCCACCCCAGGAGCCTGGGAAGTTAAATGAGGGTCAGTGAATGGCATAACAAACCGGTAAAAAGTTTGTCTACGAATAAGCCCCCATACCCACCATGGAGCCATAATTGGAGGATAGGACACCAGACAAGACGGGCCCCGGCCCCCGCCGGCCCCCGCCGCCCCCCTCCTTTCAGGGGTGCATCGTGAGTATACTCCCCGCAATCGTCATTTTAAGAGTAGTCAGTCCGAGATTAGGCTCAGCAACGAAGGCAAAGATTTACGATAAAGTGTGTCTTCGCTCGACAACGTCGGGTACCACAGTTCTACGGGTGAGTGTGTGCCTTTCCAAACACTGTTCCTCAAAAGGAGGCTCCTGTTTTGACGCCTCCCCGGGCGTCAAAACAAAAAAAAAAAACCGAAAAAGAAATATCGACATCAGCATCACACTTCGGCAGCCAAGCCCCCTCACGACGGCAACGGGCTGGAAAGGGAGGGAGTTACCACATAAAAACGGACTGGTACTAGGTAACATTTGGTAACGGCTAGTTCTAGGTCATCTTTCAGTGACTGACCTAGAGAAAACTAAGGAAAGTGCCGCCTTTCAAATGTGGTTCCCTCCTAACCGCTCCACAAATTCCGGCTGTCCAAGCCTATAGTGTGTTCTCCTGTATCAGGTTAGGTCCACGTCGGTATTTGAACGTTTCTCTGAAGTGCCAGCCAGTTCCTCCATTGTTAGGTTGTTGGCGCCAGGTTCCAGACCTGCTCAGACGAATTGGTCCTTTATGGATTTCTCTCTTCTCCATTCAATCATCTGTGGGTCTTGTGGGAAGTTCACCCAGGAGGTGTGTTCACCGTATGTCTGCCTCATCCAGAGCCACATGTCCGAGAGCTTCCGCCGCAGATTACCCGCGAGACCAGGAAAAAATAAGGTCGAGAGACTCCACCCTTTATCCTCCACTCGAGGGGCTGGGGGCTGGAGCAGCTGTATTCTAGTCCTCCCTCGTAGTTTCTCCTGGGCATGTTTCAGCATTTCCTCTGGGTATATTCCTAAACATCTCCCAAAGGTCGTCTAATTGTGGGTAGAGGGTTTCGTCTCTACTGTTTATCCTCCATAGCGTAACCCTAAAGAAAAAGGTACATTTCTTTAGGGCTAGCGGTTAGCATGAATCTAACTTCAGATGTGTGAAGGTTCGTCGGCTTATAATAGTAGGCCTTAGTGTGTAGTGCCTGGTTGTCGTCCTCTTATACTGTGGTGTCCAGGAAATTTATCGTGGTATCGCTGTGCTCTAGGTCTAGGGTAAACCGTTTCCATGGACTTTTGGTCCAGGAGAGAAAAAAAAATTCGTGGGGTCCCCCCCCCCTCCACCTACCATAATTCCAAAAAAATTATTACACATCCATGTATATGTATATAATATATAAAAAAAATAATAGGGGTGGTAGGAGAGGAAAAGATTAAAGTATTCAGTGAGAATCCACAAGGTCTTCTCTTAACACTATTTTCTTCTTCGAGGATGTGGGTCCCTTTAATTAAACCAGTGGTGGTACCCCTAAATTATAAATATATATATATAATATATATATATATATATAATATATTATAATTATATATAATATATAAATATATATTATATATATTATATACAATGACTTTTTTGGAATTATGGTAGATGAGGTCTGTTATACCACACGTTTCCTCGAAATCTTCTTTCTTGGTGGGTTTACCCACCCAGCTCTGAATCTGTCGATTGTTCTGCCCTCCCTGGCTTGTCCTTGAGTCATCTCTTTGGCATGACTGTCTCAATGGGCTGCTCCTTCGGTTTAGTTCTGTGGCCTGGTTGGGGTTCGTAGGTTTAAGGGGGGGGGGGCATATTGTCGAGTGTCCATTTCTTGATACTAGCCATTTCGTAGGCTAGTATCATCGTCATCCGGTAGCTCGAGTACCGACCTGGGGTCTGCCTGGGCTTCTTACTGCTCAGGATGTTGGTTCACAAGTTGCCCTGGGTTCAGCGCCCTGTTGACAGCGTTCAGCAGGCTCTGCATTGTACCTTCTTGGAGGTTCGAGAAAAACTAGTTTTACTTGTGCGACGTTTGCCCTTATCTCATGAGGCGTCCGTCGTAGGGTCTTTCCAGGTCACACAGATCACAGTAACGTGATGCATCAAATAACCAAATCCACAAGGGCCGTGACGAGGATTCGAACCTGCGTCCGGGAGCATCCCAGACACTGCCTTAATCGACTGAGCTACGACAGGGTAAAAGGGTTGAAATCGAAGTTCAGGAGAACTTACTGGATCCCGTAGCCTCTCCGAGGCACAAACCGAAGAAGAGGGAGAACGGCCTATTGACATAGCTCGGGTGCAGGGGGGGGGTTGTGTAAAAGCCTGGTTTGTGCCTCGGAGAGGCTACGGGATCCAGTAAGTTCTCCTGAACTTCGATTTCAACCCTTTTACCCTGTCGTAGCTCAGTCGATTAAGGCAGTGTCTGGGATGCTCCCGGACGCAGGTTCGAATCCTCGTCACTGCCCTTGTGGATTTGTTCTTCCCAGATGTCTCCGCTTCAGGGCCATCTTCCGTCAAAAAACCTTCCCATAGGGTGGTCTAGCTGCTTCTCGTCTCTACCTTTCATTAGGAGGGGGGCTACAATGTGCTCAATTTTGGTCATTTCCCTTGGGTGGGGAGGTAGCAGAAGAGCAGCGCCATGGACGCTCTAGCTTGTGTTAAGTTTACCCTATTAATGAAACTGCCGAGGCCTGGCAGGATCGAGAGACCTACAGAAAAAGTTGAAAACATAGCTGCAGGGCCAGGTGGTCCGGGACTATTTCTAGTCTGGTTAAGCACAATGTGAGCGAGCGAATGTCGTTTAGGTACTATGGTCGTAAAGATTAGTTTTACGAGCGCTATAATCTCTCTTTCCTCTGGCAGGAAGAAACGGTAGACTTCAAAACGGGTCTCCTTTCCATGATTGTATGTACTTATGTTATGACGTATACTTTGAGTAGGTTCTCCGGGCAAGGGAAGAAGGGGAGGTACATCAATGTAGTTAAGCCTGCCCCTGTCCAGACCCGCCTCTCTCTCCAGACACCGTGTAGGGTGCCTGCCGGGAGCAGTAGACCTTACTAGTACCTGAGCAGGGTTTCTTAGTCCGTTGTCTCACTTCTCCCGAGTCGTGGGAGACAATCCTTGAGGGCTTCAATCACGTCTAGTAGGAATTCAGAGACTGCTGTATGAGGGTCAGTTTGTCGTTTAGCCTTCGAGGTCGAGCGTTAATTCGGCGAAGGTGCACGTTCCCTCTTCGTCCTTGATGCGTCCTCTCCATGTTGCCCAGATTGGTGGCTTCACAATTCTTAAAAAAATACACACTTGACACGGAATTGGGGCGGGGGGGGGGGGAGAAAAGCGTTTATAGGTTTGTTCTTCCGTTTTTGGCTTCTAATTGTGTGAGAAACGTTGAGGAGAAACCAAAGAATGATATTCCTATCAGAAACGATTCCGAGTCCCGCTCACTCCAAGAGGAGGCCCGCTCACTCCAAGAGGAGGCCCGCTCACTCCAAGAGGAGGCCCGCTCACTCCAAGAGGAGGCCCGCTCACTCCAAGAGGAGGACCAGGGGAAAAAGTACTGCCTTAACTGGGTGAAAGCTATTATTTGCCCAGAGTTTCGCCCTTCAGAATCCCTCCCCCCCCCTGGTTAGAGGAGAGGGAACAACCCGTCTTCATAAACAAAGGCCAAAGTCTATTCCATGAACCTGCCCATTATCTCAGACCAAATCCATTCCATCCATCCCCAAAGAAGCATTAGAAAATTGAAACATTCTGTTCATTCAAGAGGAATTTTCAAATATAAATTGATAATGTTACATATATTAGTATGTTTAGGCATTAGGTTAGGTGTTTAGGTTCTGTTTGGCAATTATTTGTAATTGTAGTCCGTGGGTGAAGTATTTACAGCGTTGTGGTTCTAACAAAAGTCGTCAGCGAAGAACTTTTTTTGGACGTCATCAGTTGCGAGTCTTGTAAACAGTTTTTTTTCATTTATAAACAGCTGGGGGTTGGCGGGTTCACGGAATGGACTTTAGCCTTTATGAGGACATGCTGACCCGCCAAACCATATTTATGGATGAAAAGTGGTTTACACAGGACTGACTGATGACGTCCGAACACTTCCGGAACAAGTTCTTCGCTGACGACTTTTGTTCGAACCACAACGCTGTAAATACTTCACCCACGTGCTACAATTACAAATAATCGCCAACAGAACCAGAACACCTAAACTAACCAATGTCTAAATATACTCAAAATGCTAATATGTAACTATCAATTTATATATATATCATTCAAGCATACCTGGAGAGGGTTTCTAGAGTTGTTCTACTCTGGAGCCCGGCCTGAGGCCAGGCTAGACTTGTGATAACTTGGTCCAACAGGCGACGTCACCAACACGTCATGGGACCTAGACGTGTCGATCATTACCACGATCATACGAAACGACGTTGGACTTTATTTACACACTACGAGGACCAGGCGTCTCCATTACGACGTGACGTACGACGCGACATACGTCACGAGGCCCAAGCGTCTCCGTCATTTGCCTGCTCGTGTTACCAGCGTTCCTGCCTTAATAGAGCAATCTTTACTTTATGAATCTTCCGATTTACGTGCCGTGTGCCATGCGATTACCTATCACTACTTTCCTATCAGTGTCGGCTGGAAGCGAGGTCTAGCTCTTTATTCATTGTTGAATTTATAAGAGAAAATTCCTTTTTTTGAATGTTCATGTTCAAATTTACAGATGCATCTTTGGGGGTCGACCGCTGGATGGATTGGACCGAGAGGACGGGTTGTATTATATTAGTGGTAAAGTTTCAAATAAACTACTGTTAAGCTTCATGCGGCGTTTCCGTTGAACCTCTTATAAATACAGACATTCTTATTGCCTGTTAATCACTTTACTATGAATGTGATGAGCCTAGGAGTCCCTTAAAGGGACTGTTCCAGCGAGATCACCACGACCAGCGTGGATCAGGACCTGGTAGATCAGGAGATTACCATGACCAGCGTGGATCAGGAGACCACCAAGGACTCTACCGTCCACCCAGGCCCTGTAACGCTTCCTCTCCTGTTGCTGGATTTAGACAGCTTTGCAAAGCGTCTGCCACATTGGCGACGTTGCCCGCTATTTCAGCCAGGAAAAAACAAACCCCCAACATGTAGCAGGGCGCCCTCTCCAGTTGCCACAACGGGCAGAATATGGTGTACTAAACACCTGAACCTGACCAAGCTACCCACGTATAGGAAACGTTAATGCGAGTCGCTGTGATTTATAGTACAACATTTTTCCGTATGAGATCATGTCATGTCAAAATGTGGTGGTATTCGAGAAGACAGGTTGAATGAAGATAGTGATTAAGACTATGCAGTGAACCTAATTAGTGATGATGGTGGTGGTGGTGGTGGTGGTGGTGGGTGTGTGTGTGTGTAGTGAACACAGTGACTTCATCCGAGGATCGCCGGGTCCCTCCAGTGGGACAAAAATTGTCAATGACAAAATGTAACTTGCAGAGTCAAATGAGAAACTGACAACTGGGTAAACAGTTTTGAAAATTTTTGTTGTAGAATGTGGAACAAGTTAAAATTGATTTGCTGCTCAGTGTCTTTTAATCTGTTTGATACAGGACCTCGTCTGTAAACTGTCGTCACACGGGCCAGCAGGTCTGCTATTATGTTATGAAGGAGAGGCAGCAGCCATGCATGTTCCAGGAATAATGAAGGGAGTTAGTACACATTACCGGCAGGTGTAGTGGCGATTACGGGCAGCGTGAGATTTCTATCCTCTCTACAGCAACAGTCTTCAGACCTGTAAATACAAACTGTTTACAAACTTTGTATATACGTTACACCAAACCTACCACATAGTACTGTCTATATTGGTGTCCACTTTATCGTCAATGAAAATTTAATAAATAAATTCAGACCCAGTCTCACTGTCCCGGTCAGACCACAACCAGCCTCACCTGTCTACTTTAGGAGTTTCCTTAAAGCGTTCCTCAAGTGCTAGATATTCCTCTTTAGACAAGGCACTTTTTGCCAGCCTCAGGGACTCACGGGGAAGATACTGCACGCACTCCTCGCCTCCAGCCAATTTTCCTATTTCAATGGTGAAAATTGTGTTTTCTGTACTAAATTGAGAGCATAGGCTACACTTACCAATTATCCCTCATCTTAACTGCCAAAGACAACTTACTAATGACCTTCCGTGCAAGGCGTGTATCCTGTACTTTACTGTCATGCATATCCAGGCACTGACAAGATTTATAACCAAGATTATAAATGCCCCAAAGCTGCAATTTAAAAGTTTTAGAAAATACTGAACTAAACACCTAAATCCCACCCTCTCCAGCCATGCTAGCTGCTCCATACATTGTAAACTAAAGTGTCTTGGTAGAGCTGCATCTTTATCACACGCCAAAATAAAGCCAATTGCTTAACCCTTGGACGAGTGTTAAGTCAAACGATGCATTGGTGCATCTGAAGTGAATACCGAACATGTCAAGTTCCACCCATACTATAAAATGTTACGTAAAACTGATTCTTTATAAATTCCAACTACTAAGACTTGCTACCTCTGGCATCCATTACTCTACAAAGTGTATCAAAGCGTTAGCGTTATTTATAAGTGAGCATCTGGCACCATAACCCCCCCCCCCCCCCAAGGAATATTAATATTAGTGGTTATTGTTTCAGATTCAGCTACTCGGAACAAAAGTGCCAAGTAGCACGGGCTATGGTGACCCCCTTGTGGACTTTGGAATTTAACAATTGTTTATATTTCTCTGGAACGTTATAAAAGTAAACTACATTTACGTTAAAATCTTAAATATTTCATACAGATCCATATTAATTTATATACCTTCTTGATGGGGTTCTGGGAGTAGTTCTACTCCCCAAGCCCGGCCAGAGGCCAGACTTTACTTGTGAGAGTTTGGTCCACCAGGCTGTCGCTTGGAGCGGCCCGCAGGCCCACATACCCATCACAGCCCGGTTGGTCCGGCACTCCTTGAGGAAAATAATCTAGTTTCCTCTTGAAGATGTCCACGGTTGTTCCGGCAATATTTCTGATGCTCGCTGGGAGGACGTTGAACAACCGGGGACCTCTGATGTTTATACTGTTCATCCATGGGCTCTGTGCCCATGGCACCTCTGCTCTTCACTGGTTCTATTCTGCATTTTCTTCCATATCGTTCACTCCAGTACGTTGTCATTTTACTGTGCAGATTTGGAACCTGTCCCTCTAGTATTTTCCATGTGTATATTATTTGGTATCTCTCCTTTTTTAGTGAGATCATTTGGAGAGCTTTGAGACGATCCCAATAATTTAGGTGCTTTACCTCTTCTATGCGTGCCGTAAATGTTCTCTGTATTCCCTCTATTTCAGCCATCTCTCTTGCTCTGAAGGGGGAAGCGAGTACTGAGCAGTACTCAAGACGGGACAAAAGTGATTTGAAGAGTACAACCATTGTGATGGGATCTCTGGACTTTAAGGTTCTCGTAATCCAACCTATCATTTTTCTGGCTGACGCAATACTTGCTTGGTTATGCTCCCTAAACGTTAGGTCGTCGGACATTATTCCCAAATCGTTCATTCGAAATATATTCAAATCGATTCAATCGTCCAAATCCTTGACATGCTGTTTTCCTACTATGGGCAGATTCGATTGTGTTTTGTACCCTGTATTATGTTTCAGATCCTCATTTTTGCCGTACCTGAGTACCTGGAATTTATCACCGTTAAACATGTTATTTTCTGCTGCCCAATCGAAAACTTTTTAAACATCTGTTTGTAGTTTATCAATGTCTTCAGCAGAGGTAATTTTCATGCCGATTTTTGTATCGTCTGCAAAGGATGACACGGAGCTGTGACTTGTATTTTTGTCTATACCTGATATGAGAATAAGGAACAGTGGTGCAAGGACTGTACCTTGAGGTAGAGCGCTTTTAACTGTGCTCTGACTATTTTACTTTATTGACTGTGTTCTGTTAGACAAGAAATTGAGTATCCAGCGTCCTACTTTACCAGTTATACCCATTGACATTTTGTGTGCAATCACTCCATGGTCACATTTGTCTAATGCCTTTGCAATACCTTTGTATACGACATCTGCATTATGTTTTTTTCTAATGCCTCAGTGTTTTTGTCATAGTGGTCAAGTAGCTGTGCGAGGCATGATCTTCCTGCTCTAAATCCATGTTGGCCTGGATTGTGGAGGTCATGGGTTTCCATGACAAAGTGACCTGACTCCTGATCACTCAAATACTTCGATGTAGGACGTTAGTGCAACTGGTCTACAATTCTTTGCCAATGCTTTGCCACCACCCTTGTGTAGAGGGGCAATGTCTGCCGCTTTAAGCACATCTGGTATCTTCCCTGTGCCCAAGCTCTTCCTCCACACTATACTGAGTGCCTGTGCTACTGGCACTTTGCATTTCTTTATAAATATTGAATTCCATGAGTCTGGACCCGGGGCTGAGTGCATGGGCATATCGTCAATTTCTTTCAAAATCTGCTATGCTTGTGTTGATATCAGTTAAATTTACAGGTGTTTGGATATCATTCATAAAGAAATAGTCCGAATCTTCCACTTTCATGCTGTGTATCTGAGTGCTAAACATGTCCTCATACTGCTTTTTTAGGATTTCACTAATTTCTTTGTCATCCTCGGTGAATGAACCTTCACTAATACGAATAGGTCCAATACTGGCAGTGGTTTTCGATTTTGATTTAGCATATGTGAAGAAATATTTTGGGTTTTTCTTTTTTTCTTTAATTGCTTTCTGTTCTAGTTGCCTTTCTTCAGTCTGTTCGATTTCTTTAATCTCCCCGTTTAAATTATTTCGTCTTTGTATGGAGAGTCGTGTCTGCTTAAGCATTTCCGTTAATTTCTTCCTCCTTTTGTAATGTCGTCTGCGTTCTCTTTCTACATTTGACCTCTTTCTGGCTTTCCTCAAAGGAACATGTTTCAGACAGACTTTATACGCTTCCGAAATCGTATGCTTCAGAAGTCAGTTTTTCTATTCTTTGTGTAGGATTTTTATTTCTTAGAACATTTTTCCATTGAATGTTTGTAAGCTCCCTGATTATTTTCTCCCAGTCTATACTTTTATTATTAAAATTCAATTTATTGAATAACCCTTCTCGCTTGTTGTTTCTCTTGGGCCTACTACCGTTATTAATGTTAAATTGCACTTCAATGAGCTTGTGGTCCGAGTACGTAGTGTCAGACAGTAATGTCTCTGATTAGCTCCTCATTGTTCGTGAATATCTTTACATTCCAAAAATTATGTGGAATATTATTAATTACTATTCTGCAAATAAATTTAAAAGAATTGGGCAGTGGTGATTCAGAGCCAAGATGAAAGGCTACAGCAGCTACTACACTTTGATGCACTTTTTAATGTAAGATTGTATTCGGGGGATAGGAAGGGGGGGGGGTGGGAGGATGAAGTGGGAGGATGAAGTGAGATGAAGATTAGTGAAAACATTTTTTCAAAATATTTCAACACTACCTGCACCATCTGTGTTGCGTGACTGGCAGCACAAGGTAGCGCCCGTGTCGTCGACAACAGGGCACGACAACGGGTCTCCCACTGTAACCTCGCCAAGAATCGCCTGTAAGAATTAGATTGTTATTGTTTTTAAATCAAACATTGTATAAATATTCACGAAGATGGTTATTACACCAATTCCCGGGCTCGATATTAAGCATGATAGGAAAGAAACAATCTAACAAGATTTTGAAATATTTGATATACCTAGCTATTGCAAAGCCTAGGAGACTGAAAAGCCAAATTAATAAGATAGTTAATAAGAGTCGCTATTGTTGGGGGGGGGGGGGACTAGGCTGCACTTTACAACACCCAGGCACAGTAACCTAATGACTAAAAGTTTAGGACGGGTTAGGTACACACACAGAAATCACATTGTCGTGATATGAGAAAATCCACCGGATTCTTTATTAACTATTTGGTCGAAAGTATCAGTAAGTAGTAATTGACCAAAAATTTGAAGTTTTTGTATTGTTGAATATGGCAAGCTTTTTTTTAATGGCAAATATAGCACCTAACCTAGTCTAGCAATCATGGGCCTAATACATTCATTAGCATGGGGGGGCCTCGTAGCCTGGTGGATAGCGCGCAGGACTCGTAATTCTGTGGCGCGGGTTCGATTCCCGCACGAGGCAGAAACAAATGGGCAAAGTTTCTTTCACCCTGAATGCCCCTGTTACCTAGCAGTAAATAGGTACCTGGGTGTTAGTCAGCTGTCACGGGCTGCTTCCTGGGGGTGGAGGCCTGGTCGAGGACCGGGCCGCGGGGACACTAAAAAGCCCCGAAATCATCTCAAGATAACCTCAAGATAGCCTAGTGTGCGTACTATACTAGGCCTATTAATATTCAAGTTTGGTTTTTAGTTTGTTTTCCAAGACAAAATTAAAAAAGTGCAAAAATTGAATTACTAGTATTCATTCACTACATACTTACAACCAAATAGTTACTTTATCAATAAATACGGTCTTTTTCAGGAAGATTGGGTGGTCCACCTAGATGCGTACATCTTCCAGTAGCGTGCGCGGACACGCACAACAGTCTGAACTGGTACTGTCAGATTAGTCGCCCCGCTACCACCACCACACGGTACTCTTGCTCGACTCCAAACTCTGGCAACTAACCCTCACTGGCTTTATTTAGGCGAGATTTTAGTGTTTCTGTAGGTAAGAGTCAAAGCACAAAGCAAAACCCAGAAGGCCAACTGGGTCCATGCCAAGGGCTTCATAGGTCTCCGCCCACGAACTAATCACACAGCTTGTTGATACGCTAACCCCAGTCAGTACAGCGGCGTACCTTAACCACCCGACTATAGATGACCAATCGCTATGTCCAGAATGTGGGGAAACTTGTGCTAACAAAAGGCAGATCGCTACACCAACATCTTTCCCAGACAATCTCATACCACGCAGAGGCTGCAGCAAAGTGTGGCGGGAGCAAAGAGGTAGACCGAGGACTTCATCATCCTTGTCCGGGAAGAGACGTTGTTATAGATTCAGCTACTCGTAGCTTACCTGGCACAGGAGCAGGAGGAAGAGACGACTGGCAGCAGTGCCCGCCAGACCGAGGGGTCACAACTAGTGCCTGTACAAGAGTCTCCCGACGCTAATTAGATTTAATCAAGTGCAAATGACGTTCGGAAAAGGTTGTGTATCAGTGTGCAGAGGATACAAGCCCTCCCAGGTGGAGTTTTCTAATGACTTCTCTTCCATACCTTCCGGGCCGGACCATATCATCTTAAAGTATTCTGCCCCCGGCCCTGCTAGTACTGCCATCCACCTCAAGGACATACCTGTCAGGGTGCTCACTAAACCTCAGTAAATCTACTACCACGACCATTTCTCAAATACAGAACCAATACCAAAAAATACCCGATCCCGAAAATAGGTGTCGCCTCATACCTATCCTCCAAGGTCTCAAGGCTGCTTCACAAGGTATTGAGCAGCAGACTGCTAGGGTAGTCTGCTGCAACAAGAGCTTTCATCCCCATGGATAGTTGTGCTGAAAGTTTGGACGTTGGTCTGGTTAAGGCCCGTGCACTTAATCTTTCCCTTGAGTGAAGATTGAGCGCACCTTTCCTCTATATGGAGAAGGCGTGTATCTCCCATCCTGGTATACAAAGGGTCATGGAGCCAAAAAGGCATGCTATGTCGGGCTATAGAACAATCCCGACCACCAGAGGAGCGAGAAACACGAAACTAAAAAAAAGTCGCCCTATTTATTCTAGGGGCAATTATTCTAACAGGCTTCTAACTAATACGAAGGCATAGGGCTGGGGATTGAACTGGGCAAGGAAAAGATACCAGCACTGATAGTTTAAAGTGGCCTTGTACGTGCCATTGTTTGGCACACTGGCACATGCACGACTTCGGGAAAGCTCAGCAAAGTGCCGGATATTGAGCTTTAGAAGTGGAAAGGAGTCTTAAAAAAAAAGTTCGTTAATGAAAGAACATTTCAGATTAATACCGTGGCTTTTTAGACTGCATATTTGACGAGAACAAGTACTTCTGTACACTAGTTTATGATAAAGGTGATTAAGGAAGCCTGACAACCGAGTGGACAGCGCTTCGGATTTGTAGTCCTGAAGTTCCGGGTTCGATCCCCGATGGAGGCAGAAACAAATGGGCAGTTTCTTTCACCCTGATGCCCCCTGTAACCCAGCAGTAAATAGGTACCCGGGAGTTAACCAGCTGCTAGAAGCCGCTTCCTGGGGATATGTAACAAAGATGAGGCCTGGTCGAGGACTGGGCCGCGGGGACGCTAAACCCTGAAATCATCCCTAGATAACTCCAAGATAACGGTACCGTATTGAGGGGTGGCGAGGGACATTAGGACCCCCCCCCCCATCCCAAAACCCCAACAGAGGTTACACACGCACGCCATCAGATTCAGAAACTGGTCATCATTCAGTTGTCTCATCGGTAGATGTGGCAGGCTATAGATAAAGATAAAGGCAGGCGGTAGATAAAGGCTATTTGTAGCTGGCTGCGGCTGCCACAACAATTTTTCTTCCGTGGAGACTGACGGAGGAGGACTCGAGTTTCCCGCTTTCCACAACATTGACTGCGAAAGAACACGCAGCTGCGAGTGATGCTGCAGTCTGGGGACCCGGAGGTCAGAACAATAGCAGACCAACACTGTTAGTTTCAAAGCGTTATATGACAAAGAGTGCTGGGAAGACGGGACACCACGAGCGTAGCTCTCATCCTGTAACTACACTTAGGTAATTACACTTAGGTAATTGTTCATTTGATGCATCACGTTAGTGTGATCTGTGTGATAATTTCATTGTGTCGGGGGACAAGAAGTTTCTATGTATTCATACAGGTTAGGCTTATATCGAGGGGTTCCCCCTTCCTATTTTTTCTTTTGGGTGGGGGGGGGGGGAAATTCGTGCGCGGGCCCCAAGCCTCTGGCTGGCCCACTAAGTGATGCTTGTTTCGGTTTTACTTAGGCGGAGTATGAGTATTTCACAACTCGTATGGTCGCTTCAGTAAGATTTTGCCCCATGTGTGTTACAATAACTTCTGCTCTGTTGAATCCAAGATTAAATCTTATTGGGTTTGTAACTGTGCGCTGTGTTAGCTGTTCCAGTGGTCCGTCGGGCACTTCTCCAGTGCCGACATTCCCTCTATGTCGAATTACTGACCCCGCCCAGGATGCAACCCCACAACAAGCCAACTCCTGATTACCTACTTACTGCTAGGTGAACAGTTACATTAGGTGAAAGGAAATGTGCCAAACCATTTCTGTCCCGCCCAGGATTCGAACCCGGAATTCGAGAACGAACCCGACTATTACCGGGACCCTACAAGGCAGCCCGTCCTCCAAAGATCTAAAAGTGATTCCATGCACCCGCCAAACCCCCTGTTTATGAATGAAAAGCGGTTTACACACGACTCAACTGCTGACGTTCGAACATATCTGGAACAAGTGCTTCACTGACGAATTTTGTTCGAATCACAACGCTATAAATGCTTCACCCACGTACTACAAATACAAATAATCGCCAACAGAACCTAAACACCTATCCTATGCCTATATATACACAATTTGCCAATATATTACACAAATTTATACTTGAGAAAATTCCCGTTTTGAATAAACAGCATGTTAAAATTTATTAATGCGTCTGTGGGGTCGACCGCTGAATGTAATGGACTTGAGTCGAGGACAGGTTGTACAAGGAGAGGACATTTTGGAGTTTATTTGAGAGGATAAGAAGAGTGCAAACACCAGCACCACTGGGAGCAGCACCACTGGGAGCAGCACCACTGGGAGCAGCACCAACAGTGTTAACCAGAGTACTATAAAGAGTTTGTCAAAAGGCGAGTTTTATATCAAGGAGGAGGAAGGCATTAGCGAGATTATTATTAAAGTAAATGTGCCATTAAGGTTAAGCACAACACAGTGTTGTGCCAACTAGTTGCAACACTAGTGCCAACACAAGTAGTATTGGAAAGTTTTAGAATGAAAATAGTTTTAGTCTGATAAGAGGTAACCAAGGCGTGAAACACTTGAGAATAAAACAGGGTTACTGATGCTTAGGACTCTGAGGAGGAGATAAGAACACTAATTTACAGAAGGTAGATGTAGGAATAGTGAATTTACATGCCACTGTACACCGGCTTGCGGGAGACGTGTGACGTCTAGAGAAGGAAGCCTTTAAGGAGGAAGACTTAACTTTTGAAATTAATTGGAGCAAGTTTGTTCAGAGAAAAAGAGGAAAGGCTAGATAATACTACAGAGGATATATAGCAAAAATAAAGCGAAGGTAGACTAGGGACGCACGTGCTAATAGTGGGAAGAACAGTTTTAAAGTACTCTATACAGAGATTGGCAAGAACAGGAGAGAACCCCCATAACGTCACAGATTAGCATTTTGCACTGAAAGAGGAGTCACGTCAACAGTCTGAACACCACCACCTGTCGCCTTTCGAGTAATGAAAAATCAAGGGGAACGTTAGTAAAAATACTCAACAAAGACCAACATCTTACAGGAGAGAGATAACTATCAAGGGAAAGCGCCAAGCCATTACGACTATATAGCTCTTGGAAGGGTTTGGGATTTGGGATGGGATGGGGGAAAGGAATGGTTCCCAGCCACTTTGACGGTCGGGGATTGAACGCCGACCTGCATGAAGCGAGATCGTCGCTCTACCATCCAACCCAAGTGGTTGAGCGATCGTACAGGAGGGCTGCAGGTGTAAACACTGAAGTCCTCACTGACTAAGGTGGGCAGAATAAAAGGTACCAGGATAAGGAGCGAGAGTTGTCAAGCCAACAGCAAGAGGGTAGCTGAGAGCCTCTAAAATGATAGAACAAAGATGAACAAGCCCAGGTTTAAGTTGGCGTAGACCGTGAAAATAGGAGAAAAATGTTGGACTACATCAACGACGAGGAGCTGTTCACTTGAGACAGTTAAGCAAGTCCCAGCTGTGTCTGGGTACAAGTGACAGGATGAACAACCCAGCGGGTTTTCTTCCTATTGGGGAAGTGTTGTACATGCTGCTATGGCGGTGTGTCCACTCAAGATGAGTGGCGCTGCCCAATACTGTCACTATGGCGGCGTGTCCACTCAAGATGAGTGGCGCTGCCCAATACTGTCACTATGGCGGTGTGTCCACTCAAGATGAGTGGCGCTGCCCAATAAACTCGCCCCTCGGGGCAAAATTAAAAAAACAAATGAAGTCAAAAGGACAGGGACTAGTGAACTTAGTTTACGGTGATACAGATTATTAGAACCAGACGAACAATTTAGCCCAAGGATTACTGGAAATCAGACGAAGTTTGTGTATCGAGGAAGCATGGTTGAAAGAGGAGAGGCGAACAGTGTCGAAGGTCATGCTAAACAAGATGGCAGGTCACGGTAAGACAAGACTACGTGTTGGTCACCGTGACTAGTCGCCTCCCCAGGATGTAGCCCCCCACAACCGTTGTTCAACTCTGGTACCCATGTAGTGCTAGGTGAACACATTAGTGGAAAGAAAACTCCAAACATATTCTGCCCCGCCCGGGAATCTAACCCTGGATCACCGATTGAGAGGAGAATGAAGCCAAGAGACCCATAATTAAACCAGGGAGAACAATGACAACTTTACTCTGCACGTCAAATTCCACCCGATCTGGTTTCAAATACTGGATCATTTCCACGTATACACACCACGTCCAACTATTCCGTGTCAATTAGCCACACCTTAAGAAAAAGTGCATAAAGGATTTGAAATATTTAGCAGCTCATACACAAGACTTCACTCCGACACCCTCAAATGTTCAAACCCAGAATGAACAAAAAAAATCTTAAGTTCTACAAGTTGCTTTTGTCGCCACTGGCAACTTGCAACACTCACACAGCGTAGTTCTTAACCATCCGCTAGACACTTCACGTGGGAAGTGTTCCCGCCACCCGGCACTCTCCACACCTTACACCGACAAACTGCTAACATAACTTTAATGCAGAGAACTCTTAACTGGCATTTAAAGGTAATACAAGATACTGGACCGACTCCTAGCAAACTTGTTAAAAGATAATTAGTACAGACCTAATATCCTCCAGGGGTCACGACGATCATATATGCTGATGACATTCTTATACAAGGCACTTCTGGGAACAAAATTCAAGATGCTCTTAACATACTTGGTACAACCTGTCACAAGTTAGGCTTGGTTATAAATGCAGATAAAACCAAATACGAGTATAGGAAACGAAGAAATATAACACTTACTCTAAATGGTGTGGAACCGAGCCGTGTACAGAAGTACAAGTATCTGGGCATGTATGTTGGATACACATGAGAGTAAAAATGCCGAAATAAATCATATCAGCACCTTATGTACAGCCCGTCTGCATCCTCTAAAAGCACTGGCTTTTTCTGGTAAAGGTATTGGGGTACCTATCTTACGGATGTTATACATAAGCACTGTTCGATCCCTGATAGACTACGCAGCACCCGTATTGTCTTACACAGGCCAAGGCAGAATTCAAAAAATAGAGCTGATACAGAACGAGGCTATGAGGATTATTCTTGGATGTCAAAGAAATGCAATGATTGAAATAATGAGAATGGAATTAAATTTACAGAGTGTGTGTGAGAGTCCGTGACATTAACACTAGAGTATCTATTCGTTTCATGCGGAGAAAAGGAGGGGATAAGCTGTTTGAGAGCGTTCAGACCTGCTTGAGTGACGTACACACTTCCAGGAAACTGAGGGAGACACGCTATACGAGAGGATTAGCTCATGACCTCAGGGAATACGATGTACTTGACTGCTGTAAACCCTCTCGACAGTGTAATATGTCTGCTCCCTGGAAAGTACAGAAAATAGACGTCGAAATTGTACCCCTCAAGGTGAAAAAGATTCATCATGAACCGGGACAATTACGGTGTTTGTATGGAAGCATGATATCTCGGTTACCAAGAGGCAACAGTTTACATGTATATTGCGACGGGTCGGTGGCGGAAGATGGCAGGGCAGGGTGTGGTGTCCTAATAAGGGATTATACGGAGTTTGGGACTGTGGACAGGATAATTGAACTCCGGCTTAGTAATTATATATCATCCACACAAGCTGAACTGCAGGCCATTCTGGCGTGTTTGGAGGAAGTACGTCATGACGACAAAAATGTTTTTGTATTTGTCGATAGCCGAGGAGCACTGGAGTCCTTAAACAGTCGAAACCCAGTCTTCATGTCTATAGTGGAGGACTGTAAGAGAAGAATAACTGAGATACAGCTGAAAGGTTATAGTGTGAAATTCATGTGGATTCCATCTCATGTTGGAATAGTGCTCAACGAGGTGGCGGATGACTTGGCCAAACGTGCCACATCAAAACCACAAGTTGACATTGAATGTGAATTCACAATGAGACAAATAAGAAGCAAAATCAGAAATATTCAGGCACAGGCGGGAGTGGAGAGGAGAGAGATAATGTATGAGAGTAGTCAAACCATGCAACACTACATGTATGCGAGTCAAAACACCCATTTCACTTATGGTAAAAGGAGAAATGCTTGGAGTGACTGTGTACATGCGGCTCAGGCTTGGGTACAAATATTACTGGGAATATGGGATAGATGTTCATGGTAATGACACGAAGTGTAAACTATGTGGTATGTTAAGGTCTCACACCCTTGCCCATTATATTCTTGATTGTCCGTTGATTAATGTATATAGAAACACTGAGATAAGGACTGTTCCTGAACAAATAGCCTGGATGTGTCACAACGGAAAGGTTGATGATATTCTTGAGAGATAAGAATTTTGCACCAAGATTGTAATATTTTGTTGAATTATCTGCAGGTGTCTTGCAAATTGTCTATACAGTATACCTAGGTCATAAAAGTATTTGTGTGTACGTCTGATACCATACTACTTGTGAAGGAGGAAATGTATATGTTTACCTCTCAGAATGTTTGGTAATGTGTTTATTTGTGATGTGTGTCTATGTATATATTAACACGTTGTACTGAATGGGGTGAGAATAGCTTGAGCTACCTCATCCCTTTGTGTGTATTTTACCTCAATAAACTTATTTCAATTCAATTTCAGTACAGACCTAATTATCCAAAACTGCGAAATCCAACCAGTTCTTCCCCCCCCCCCCCGCATGCCACAGGCATTATATAACTAGTATCGACAACTAATTAAACAATGCCACGGCCTCCACCTTCCACTCTGCAACGAAAAATTGCTAAACTCCTCCCCCCCTCCACTATAATTTACAATTCAAAACGTTCCGTTACCACCGTTGTGTGGACCGTTACCACCGTTGTGTGGACCGTTACCACCGTTGTGTGAATCCCTGTAGTGCCATTTTAAAGCAGGGATGGAAACTACACAACCAGGGATATATGTTCCCAGTGGATGTGCATATTCTGTACCAGTCAAGAAAAAGTTAACAAATTTGCAGTGACTTAAGTGCAATCCAAGTGATAACAGGCTGTACCTAAACACTACGAGCTAGTCTACTCTTCAGCTCGTTGAAGAGTACTCTCCCCGAGCAACTTTACAAGTACTTACTGGAGATCCACACATTGGGTTCCAACACAGTGGAATACTCAAGGAATTAAAGAATTACCATCAAAGTAGACAACGCATCACAACGTCCCATTAACACGAAAGGAAACCTTTAAATTAAAGCATTTACTAATATATTCTGCGACTTTTACTTCTTCACTTGCACCTTAAATCGAAGTTTACCTCAAGTCATACAAGATATACCACATGGCGTTAATTAGGAAATTATATAATTCAGTCACGCGGTCAGAGCGAAACTTAACAAGTGGTCGTTAAGAAATACACGAACCACCGTGTCGGACTAGTCTGAACAGTTGCGAAATCTTCGCCTATAGAGACCCCGCACAGTTTACCACTTACCAGGATAATGGGGCCGGTTACGTTGGACCAACTCGCAGTGGTAATCTTATTACCAAACCAGACATTAAAACGTGTCAAAGTATACTAGGAGAGCGAATTATTGATAAATGCCCCCCCCCCATATAAGCAGCATTACATCAAATTTATCGGGCAAAAGGTAAATCAATTCGTCCCCTCGCTAGGTTTACTCTACACTGTAGGTAATGCTCCATGACCAAGAGAATCAAGAACAATATTAAAACCAATCGAGCACATTCAACCTCCACCCCTTACAACAGGTTTGACAGTTTCTCAAAACTATGACTTAAATCAAATACAACTTTTAAAATTTGTCCTATTATAAACATGATAAAACAGTTAACTAACCATCAAGAACAAGTAGCACAGCATGGCACACTGGCCCGGGATCGCCAGTCAACAAATAATAGTTGGAAAACAGCCGACACGACCCGCTAAAATCTAGAGGCAGACTTCAGTAGCCGACAAACGCGGCTTCCACACACACACACGCAGTACTGCACAGAAAACGCAATGAGAGCCTCTAGGAAGCGTCGTGCTGACCCCCTCGAAGCTCAGCACTAACCTGACGCCCACCACTGGTCAGCTCGGGAAAGATGCGACCGCGGAGCGAATACGTCGGCTGGCAAGTCCTGGTTATACCCCAGCAGGAACATAGATGGCAGAACCTTCGCTCTCTCTCGCTCTCGGTATTGGGTGAATAATTGCGCGAGTCAGGGCCAGTGTCTTGACTGTCAGGGCAGACATAACCAGCCATGTTCTTTCTGCTTTTTATGGCTGAGTGAGGTAAGGTCATGGTAATATGGTTAGTTTGCCAGTGTGGTGTATAGTGATGTGAGTGTTAATGGCTACCTACCTTGAGGTGCTTCCGGGGCTTAGTGTCCCCGCGGCCCGGTCGTCGACCAGGCCTCCTGAATCCAATGGCAACCGATGATGGTGCAATAGAGTAGATCTATAGTGATGGCTCCCACAAAACTCTGGTGAAAGTGTTAAACACCGAAATATATACGGTCCAATAATGGTATATTGAAAAAAATATGTTGACAGTGTACTAGTGTGGTGATATAGTGAGATGCACATGAATTCAAATTGTGATATGTTTTGACAATATGGTGATTCATATTTCACAGTGAGTACAGTGAGGCGCACAGTGAGTACAGTGAGGCGCACAGTGAGTACAGTGAGACAAACAGCTGCTCCAAGTGAGGTAAGTGTGGTGATAATTATTTGTTGTTTATTTTGAGCCAGAAAAGTCACCAGTCCAAGTTTCCAAGAAAAGTTTCCAAGTCACACCACGCTCCTGTGCCAGGTAAGTCCACAATGGGCTCACCATAGCCCGTGCTACTTGGAACTTTTTTGTTCAGAGTAGCTGAATCCAAAAAACAACAACAATAGTGACAATATATTTGACAAATAGTGACTATATAGTGACAAATAGTGACTATATAGTGACAAATAGTGACTATATAGTGACAAATAGTGACTATATAGTGACAAATAGTGACTATATAGTGACAAATAGTGACTATATAGTGACAAATAGTGACTATATAGTGACAAATAGTGACTATATAGTGACAAATAGTGACTATATAGTGACAAATAGTGACTATATAGTGACAAATAGTGACTATATAGTGACAAATAGTGACTATATAGTGACAAATAGTGACTATATAGTGACAAATAGTGACTATATAGTGACAAATAGTGACTATATAGTGACAAATAGTGACTATATAGTGACAAATAGTGACTATATAGTGACAAATAATTACTATAAGTCATATGATAGTGTCTTAGTGAGGTGTACATTAATCAAAGTAATGATCTAGAAATATGGTGATTGACCTGGCACTATCCTACTGAGGAACTTGTGTCTGGCAACAGTATCCAGAGGGGTATGGTGATGTAGCTGGGTACAGTGTCTGCTGGGGTATGGTGATGTAGCTGGGTACAGTGTCTGCTGGGGTATGGTGATATAGCTGGGTACAGTGTCTGCTGGTGTATGGTGATATAGCTGGGTACAGTGTCTGCTGGTGTATGGTGATGTAGCTGGGTACAGTGTCTGCTGGGGTATGGTGATATAGCTGGGTACAGTGTCTGCTGGTGTATGGTGATATAGCTGGGTACAGTGTCTGCTGGGGTATGGTGATATAGCTGGGTACAGTGTCTGCTGGTGTATGGTGATATAGCTGGGTACAGTGTCTGCTGGTGTATGGTGATGTAGCTGGGTACAGTGTCTGCTGGGGTATGGTGATATAGCTGGGTACAGTGTCTGCTGGTGTATGGTGATATAGCTGGGTACAGTGTCTGCTGGGGTATGGTGATATAGCTGGGTACAGTGTCTGCTGGTGTATGGTGATATAGCTGGGTACAGTGTCTGCTGGTGTATGGTGATGTAGCTGGGTACAGTGTCTGCTGGTGTATGGTGATATGGCTGGGTACAGTGTCTGCTGGTGTATGGTGATGTAGCTGGGTACAGTGTCTGCTGGTGTATGGTGATGTAGCTGGGTACAGTGTCTGCTGGTGTATGGTGATGTAGCTGGGTACAGTGTCTGCTGGGGTATGGTGATATAGCTGGGTACAGTGTCTGCTGGTGTATGGTGATGTAGCTGGGTACAGTGTCTGCTGGTGTATGGTGATGTAGCTGGGTACAGTGTCTGCTGGTGTATGGTGATATAGCTGGGTACAGTGTCTGCTGGTGTATGGTGATGTAGCTGGGTACAGTGTCTGCTGGTGTATGGTGATGTAGCTGGGTACAGTGTCTGCTGGGGTATGGTGATATAGCTGGGTACAGTGTCTGCTGGTGTATGGTGATGTAGCTGGGTACAGTGTCTGCTGGTGTATGGTGATGTAGCTGGGTACAGTGTCTGCTGGTGTATGGTGATATGGCTGGGTACAGTGTCTGCTGGTGTATGGTGATATAGCTGGGTACAGTGTCTGCTGGTGTATGGTGATGTAGCTGGGTACAGTGTCTGCTGATGTATGGTGATATAGCTGGGTACAGTGTCTGCTGGGGTATGGTGATGTAGCTGGGTACAGTGTCTGCTGGTGTATGGTGATGTAGCTGGGTACAGTGTCTGCTGGTGTATGGTGATGTAGCTGGGTACAGTGTCTGCTGGTGTATGGTGATGTAGCTGGGTACAGTGTCTGCTGGGGTATGGTGATGTAGCTGGGTACAGTGTCTGCTGGTGTATGGTGATATAGCTGGGTACAGTGTCTGCTGGTGTATGGTGATATGGCTGGGTACAGTGTCTGCTGGTGTATGGTGATATAGCTGGGTACAGTGTCTGCTGGGGTATGGTGATGTAGCTGGGTACAGTGTCTGCTGGTGTATGGTGATGTAGCTGGGTACAGTGTCTGCTGGTGTATGGTGATATAGCTGGGTACAGTGTCTGCTGGGGTATGGTGATGTAGCTGGGTACAGTGTCTGCTGGTGTATGGTGATGTAGCTGGGTACAGTGTCTGCTGGGGTATGGTGATGTAGCTGGGTACAGTGTCTGCTGGTGTATGGTGATGTAGCTGGGTACAGTGTCTGCTGGTGTATGGTGATATGGCTGGGTACAGTGTCTGCTGGTGTATGGTGATATGGCTGGGTACAGTGTCTGCTGGTGTATGGTGATATAGCTGGGTACAGTGTCTGCTGGGGTATGGTGATGTAGCTGGGTACAGTGTCTGCTGGTGTATGGTGATATAGCTGGGTACAGTGTCTGCTGGTGTATGGTGATATGGCTGGGTACAGTGTCTGCTGGTGTATGGTGATATAGCTGGGTACAGTGTCTGCTGGGGTATGGTGATATGGCTGGGTACAGTGTCTGCTGGGGTATGGTGATATAGCTGGGTAGTGTCTGCTGGTGTATGGTGATATAGCTGGGTACAGTGTCTGCTGGGGTATGGTGATATGGCTGGGTACAGTGTCTGCTGGTGTATGGTGATATAGCTGGGTACAGTGTCTGCTGGGGTATGGTGATATGGCTGGGTACAGTGTCTGCTGGAGCACTGTGATGTGGTTGGTCACAATGTCTGTGACCAATCACATCAGTGTCAGTGTTGCAGCATTATCACTCAGCACATAAATAGCTACATAAATTGTTGTAATTGTAATAATTACGCCATAGTTGTGATGACACTCTGCCTCAGCCCAAGACCAGCGCTCCTCTCTACCTTGACGGCCCAACCTGGCTATACGGTGGCCTTACAGTGGGGCTCGTACACCACGGTACTTGAATCTGGTTACATAGTAAACTTGAGACCCATTATACGGGTGACTCTTGCGAACAGCTCAGACCCCGCCGTCTGTGAGGCGGGGGCCATCTATTCAGGATAGTTTTTTGTTCTCTCAGTCGAGATGACTTGGCCGAGATCCTGACATGTCTAATATAGAGTTAGAAATGTTGTGGATGTTGGTATACCCGAGTTATACATCATTACATCATGAGCGCAGCTAGTGATGTGTTTGGCAGACCTCGTGGGCTCAACCTTTAACACCACATTGATTAAACATTAAACAGAGTAAGACTAAAGGTACCCACCTTTTGGAGTGCCCACTTCAACGTCCGCTGTTACACTGGTGCTCTTGGAAAAGTACAGATGTCTTATCAGGTATCAACCAGTTGTCTTGCTAGATAAATTACCTTCCCTGCCAGGTAGGAGCCAGCCTGCAACACCCACTCTGGCCAGTGTCGTCATAATGACACGTGCTTGGCAATGTCTAAGGCTGACTTTAGGTCTAGCAAAGTGGTATGTGACTTTCCAGTATGAAGGGTGAGGAAGGCGGTAATAAAATGCTGCACGCTCCTTCCACGTGTGAAGCTACTGTATATATTTGGAAACACAATAAATCTCTAATTCAACGATAGAGACGGTTTAAAAACATTCTCTCAAGAGTCTTGCAAAGACAACGAGTGAAGGAAATTGGGAAATTAGGCAAGTTGGACTTAGGAATGACAATAATGAGACTGTTGGTCCATGAATTAGGAAGCTCCCCATTTACTTAACTCATGTTGTACAAGTTAGGCGGAATATTTCCCGCCACTGGAAGAAGCACAGGCAGTATAGTGAGTGGTTCCATCCTCCACGTTGGGGGGGGGGGGAGGGGGGAGTGGTTTATCTTTGTATAGGGCACAGTTTAGTTCGCCACACTTGGTCCGGGAGACATCTCCCGTCACGCAGGGTGCAGTTGCGCCTCGACAGATCTCCAGTATCATCTTTTGATACTGGTAATGGCTCGAAAGGGCCACCACTTACGGGCTATTCATGCCCGTGCCACCTCTTGGGTGGCTTAATCTTCATCAATCAGTTTAGTTCACGATCGGTGAAGAGCATGGGGACCCAGTCTGCCAGCCTCGGCTTTAACACGCGTTCCCTGGCCGCCTCCAGACTTACGGGCTATTCATGCCTGTGCCACCTCTTGGGTTACCTTGCGATGCGAGAATTTCAGGGCTCAACGACGTTGGTCTCTTTTAAAGCGTTCTGCTTTGTGTCTGGAGAGTTTCTCATGAGTAGGTTGGCCGTCTTTT